GAAGTACAATAAAGAATCTCTTATTTCTGATTGTACAACACTTCAAAACCTTGATTCTTAGATGCGTCCTCATGAATTCCTCAGTTCCATTAGCACAAAGGAGCGGCAGTCGCACGTTCCTCGAACATAGGATTAGAGGACTTGGTCTGGTTTAGAGGGAGCGTTATAATCAAAGGAACTTAATTGGAAGCGAACGATTTACGGTTGTCGCGAAAATGTAACGCGAGATAGGAGTCAAATTATAGACAGGAACAAAATGTCTGATAAGTTTAATGGACTGAAGCAGCCTTGATATAACATTATCGGTAACGTTAACGAATATGGAGGAGATTATCGTTTGTGGAAGATTTTTCGGAGTTGCGAACAAGATGGCGGAGTTAGTTCGGTCACAAGATGGCGCATGTGTTCCCCATCTTCCACATATGAGCTGTCAATTCGAAAGTTTAGACTTTCTACATTTCTGTATATTTTAAAGACAATGAACATTGAATGAAGCATTTTGAAGACAAAATGTGAATTGTATGAATTTTTATAAAATTTTGATATATATCGTATTGTTAATTTTTTATTCCAATAATAAGAAACCATGCATCTGTTAAAACGAAAGAAAATAGTTCATTTTCCAGATCAGGGCATATATCCTTCATGCTTCACGAGGAAGAATCTTTTCATAAAAGGATATTGCGGGAATACAGAGTTCAGTATCGGCAATAGCATTATACAAACTGTAGGCCATTTCATAACGACATACTGTCGATATTGCATGGAAATATTAGAATAGGGTCACGTGTTACTGCGTATGTAGACCAGAAATGATACACACGTGTACACATTTCAACTTTATGTTACATTTATGTGATCGCTAAAACTTTATCATTGCGTCCTTGCTATAATCTGGGTAATTAAGGACACACTGGTAAATTTATTTATTTATATTGTGTACAATTTTATAAATTTTTAACAACAAAAATTTAAGAACTAAACTAAAAATTGGGTAATTAAAGACACTGGTGACTTTAGTATTTTGCAAATTTATTTATTTATCTTTTTATATTGTGAACAATTTTATAAATTTTTAATGATAACAAAAATTTAAAAACTGAAATGAAAATTATTTTTAATAATAGTTTTAAGTAAAATCAGAACTGTTTCATCGATCCATTTAGAAATTAATAGCGGAGTGTAATTCATAGTGTTTGATCATGTTAATATTACAAGCACATTATAATACATGTGCCTATGAATGCAAATGAAGGATGTAATTTCATTTCTAGAGTAACTACAACGTCACAGTCGGAAATGTTACATGAAATTCAATTTATTTAACAAGAATATCTGTCATGCGTTCATACGTGTATATCTGAATTATTTAATCACCTGTGCAGCCTTTGACGTGCTTATATGACAAATGAAGTGTTGCGACTAAATTACCAGTTCCAGTTATTTTTTATCAATATTTTTATATTAATAGAAAAAAATAATTTAACTTGTTATTCTTTATTTATTTAAAAAGAATTACAAGAAAATTTTACTGCTGAGACAAACGTGTTGACACAATTAACCCTCCTCTCCCTATATCGCCGTGTTCCCTTAAAATCTACATTGAATAAATTTACAATCTGATTATCAAATTTTAGAATTTATTAAATTTCTACAATTTTTGTGTGACAGAAAATGTTTTACTTTTTCATGTGAGGTAGTTTGATAGTGGCAATTGCAATATAGTAAGGGCAATGTGGGTCACGTGTACTCGATGGTAGAACAAGCCGCGAAAATTTGTCGGTTTACGATAAACAATGGCGTACAGCTTTAGACTTAAGCCTGGTGTTGGCAAAAATTATTGCAACAGTTCAGATAATCCATCCACGAACGTTTGGGGACATTAGTGGTGCAGGAGAGTACATACCGTTAAAGCATACATGTCGCGATACTTTATGCCTAATATTTTCTCCCGATGCAGCTCCAGTTAGAGCAAAAGCCGCAGTTGTACTAAATTTTCGTTTTACGAGACGTTGAAGAAGTATATTTGAAAATTCACGAAGTGGCAATATAACGAGATATCTACAACATAACAAATACTGTACTAACATTAATACTATTACTCTTAAAATTAGACAGCAAAATTAAAAATATCATATTCAAAATTGCTTATTACAGAAATGGCAATATAACGAGAGACCTCCAGCAGCATACTAAATACTATACTAATATTAGTACTCTTATAGTTACTCTTAAAATTAGACAGCAAAATTAAAAATATCATATTCAAAATTGCTTATTACAGAAATGGCAATATAACGAGAGACCTCCAGCAGCATACTAAATACTATACTAATATTAGTACTCTTATAGTTACTCTTAAAATTAGACAGCAAAATTAAAAATATCATATTCAAAATTGCTTATTACAGAAATGGCAATATAACGAGAGACCTCCAGCAGCATACTAAATACTATACTAATATTAGTACTCTTATAGTTACTCTTAAAATTAGACAGCAAAATTAAAAATATCATATTCAAAATTGCTTATTACAGAAATGGCAATATAACGAGAGACCTCCAGCAGCATACTAAATACTATACTAATATTAGTACTCTTATAGTTACTCTTAAAATTAGACAGCAAAATTAAAAATATCATATTCAAAATTGCTTATTACAGAAATGGCAATATAACGAGAGACCTCCAGCAGCATACTAAATACTATACTAAAATTACTACTCTTATAGTTACTCTTAAAATTAGACAGCAAAATTAAAAATATCATATTCAAAATTGCTTATTACAGAAATGGCAATATAACGAGAGACCTCCAGCAGCATACTAAATACTATACTAAAATTACTACTCTTATAGTTACTCTTAAAATTAGACAGCAAAATTAAAAATATCATATTCAAAATTGCTTATTACAGAAATGGCAATATAACGAGAGACCTCCAGCAGCATACTAAATACTATACTAAAATTACTACTCTTATAGTTACTCTTAAAATTAGACAGCAAAATTAAAAATATATCAAAATTACTTATCCCGAAGCGGCAATATAACGAGAGTATACCACTTCCTCGATAAATAGGCTCCACAGTTAAAATTTAAAACTGTACGTATCTTGATCCCCTCAACCATTTCCCGCAGGAAAAAGGTTTCCACGAAACAGTCGCCATCATTAATATTAAGGGCATAAAATGGATAAGAGGTTATTACAGTATATCAGTACCGAAGATTTTATGCGCGTTTAAAATCCGAGTGAAGTTTGTTTCAAGAGTAGCCCCTGATTCCAGTGTCGTTCGTAGCTGGGGATAAAACTTCCACGCCCTTTTCAACCCCCCCTGTTCCATCGGCAGACCCCCCAACTCCCGTCCACCATCTTCCTTCTTTTTTAAGCTCGCTAGAACTCACGGAAGTTCATCAGGGCCTTTGAATGGTTTAATTTGCATACCTAACAATATTACGGTACGCTCCCGACGATAGCTTCCCAGCTTCCTTCTACGTTTTGCAAGGATAGAACTGAATTTTAAGGGCAGCCGGTAGAAAAAGGGTTGCAACCGTCGCTCTCGAACACATTTCTATTCGCGGAAATAAAGTCTGCTCGACAAGGACATGGTTCTTTTTTTAAGAAAACTTTCAAGTTTTGTTGCCACTTTTGTGTCGATTGTTTCTGGTGATCCTCTTGAGAGCGATACCGTGCTTGAACGGACGGAACTGGCGGGAAAATTCAAACGTATTTAAAGGAGACCATTTCGTTATTTTTTTTATTTTAACAAAGTCACATAAATGTCCATAGTATATTAATTGAAAATTTTTAAATATATGCACAGTCACTGTTTTATGCTGCGATAAAGAGATTTGTACTCAGTTACTTGATTGTCAGCCTGCGGCACGTCGGTAAGGTAGGAAATTTCAATAAAATCTCAAATTTTCTTCGATTTGCCGTAAGTTCTCCTCTCAGACGTCAATCTAGAAAATCAGACTACTTAACAAATTGTATTCAAATCAGTCTTAATAGGTGTTCAAAGCCACAGGCATATCTGCACCTTAGAACCTTAAATAAAATCATTCCTAAAATAGTATTATTTCTGAACCATTAATGAAGATTAAATATCCTACTCTTTCAGACTTTTTTTCATAAAAAATCAAAACCGCAATGTTTGTATTTCTGACATTAATCAGGTAACGAAGGTCAAAGGTGCAGCACGATTGCAAGTGACACGGCCGGCCATAAATCGTCCGTTCGAATGGAAACGCGATTACATGGCGACGATTATCGAGAGATTCCCAGGAATCGGGCTTCTCGGTTGCCATCTCTGCAATATTATGTCATATATGCATAAATCCCGTTAGCGGCTCGATGCACGTTGACGAAAAAGAAATCCCTGAGAGACCGTGCCAGAATATATCGTACAAATCCATGCGAACGAGATTTTATACCCGCGATAGAATTTTCCCTCGCATTCTTTCCTTCTCTGCCCGCTTACTTATTCTCGTGTGCGCTATATTTCTTACAACGTGCTTATCCCTTCCGAATAAGACGTTCGGATTCGAGTATTTGCAGAGGCTTTCGATACCGATGCAACGATTTGTGATACTGACGCATCGAAATAAAAATAGGCTCGCCCCGTGGGCAGTTTCAGAAGCAGCGAGAAATTTTATTATGTATTTTTCAAGTTTCTGTAGTTTAGCATTTTTTTCACGAAATTTTCAAGTACACATTTCTAAATTTCTGTCACAACTAGTGTAGGTCCATTGGGTAGCTGATTCTGAACAAAATTTCCCTTTGCGAAAATGGGCTTTGAAGCTTCGTTTTTGAGTTATTAAGGAAAAACACCGGACCAATTAGAGCGCGAGGGTTGCGCATGTGCAGATGCTAGACTCGAAGCTGCGCACACGCTAGGCTCGAAGCTGCGCACTCGCGTCAGCGCACGCGCTCAGATTGGTCCGCTCTGATTGTGTAATAGTTATAGTATGTTAATTTGTAATGTTTTCTGCTTGCAGCTGGGGTTCTTCACATATTACACAGTGGCGATGGGAGAAGTAAATCCTTCGGGGCCCGTACCAATCGACAGTGTCTTTATCTATAGACCTGACAAACGTCTCGAGCTCTGGAGGTTCGCTTTCTATATGTTCCTTCATGCTGGGTAAGTTTCATTAAAAAAAAATTTCTAGAAGAACGATACGAAATTTTCGACACACTGTCACAGTGGAAATCGACGTATATAGTCAGACATGCTGAATAGTAAAGTAAAGAAGTTTTTGTCTTTTTTTTATTAAGAAATAGAAATTAAAGTTTGGTAGATGGTAGGAACTTTTCGCAATTTATTTTGATAAGTTTTTCATTAACATTTATGTCGAGAAACAGTGTGTTAATAAACAGCGGAACAAAATGGCAGAAATGATTCGATGTGATATTATAATATGCGACAGTGACTTCATCTGAATGCTACTAATTTTTTTCGATATTATATGGGTATTCGTAGCGAAATGAAATTTCACGACGATTATTGGAAAATGCGGAAATTGAAATTCACGTCGCATTTGACAAATATGTCGGAGAAAATTCACGTTTCAAGGGATCGTTTGAATCGTCGGTTATGTTTCTTTGACATATGAAATCTTTAAACCTATGATATTGTGCTTGAAATTTCACTCCCTGCTAATTTTAACATTGTTTATTGCATAATTACTTATATTGCATTTTTCTTTCTTTTCTTGTTAAATCATATTTTTTGGACAGTATCATTTTTAAATAATAACAATTGTTTCTATTTACTATATCATAATAATTTTAACCTCGTTTATTGCATAATTTGTTATATTGCATTTTCCTTTTTTTTTGCTAAATCATATTTTTAAGAGATAATATCATTTTTAAATGATACTGCAACCAATTGTTTCTATTTACTACGTCATAATAAATTCAACATCGTATATTGCATAACTACTTATATTGCATTTTCCTTTTTTTTTTTGCAAAATCATATTTTTAAGACATAATATCATTTTTAAATGATGCTACAACCAATTGTTTCTATTTACTACGTCATAATAAGTTCAACATCGTATATTGCATAACTACTTATATTGCATTTTCCTTTCTTTCTGCAAAATCATATTTTTCGGACAGTATCATTTTTCAACGATACTTTATCATCAATTTTTTCAATAAATTTTCTGTTCTTCGTTATAAATATGTGTTTAAATATTTTATAAGAAGTATTAATAAAAACGAATGAATTCATACAATTGCGACAATTTAACGTACTCATTTAACACCTAACCTCATTAGTATGTTTCATATGCGGTAATCCGTGTAAAAAGAAATGTCGATTAAAATGCAGATGGCGTGGAGTAAAAAATGACACGTGTAGCAAATTGGACATTTTTCTGGCCACTTTTCTCGATTGACCTCCGTGAATGCACTCGATGCAATTCCCGCGTTAATTCTTGACGCTAATTTCCATCCCTTTTCACCGTCGACGAATCGCGTTGCAATCTTTCCACGATCGACACGAATCGAATTCAACCATCGTTTCACAAGTCGAACAGAATTACGTAAATGTCCTGGCACGCGTTGGAAAATACGTTTCTTCTCCTCCTGGTGGTTCTATTTTTTCAAGCTACCGTCTCGTTCAACCGTTTCCCTCTTTTCTTTTCTCCCTTCCCTGTTCGATACTGGAACAACGGAAACGTCGAAGGGTACTGAAATTTATTTGCTTGCGTTACGAATTTATGGTACAGTCCTAGCTTTGCTTCGAGGTTCCATAGTTTTAGGAGCGCGGCGGTCGGCCCAGGTATTAGCGGGTGTAAATAATGCAGAAGGCGAAATAGGAAATTATGGCAACTTAAGTAATGTTAAAATATTTGCTAGGATTTCGGAATACGGGAAAGTACGACTCTAGTTATGTTGCACAGAAGGATATTGAGTTTGGCAATATAACGAGAGGTCGCAGAGTGATGGCTTGTGAATTCGTAGGTTTTCAAATTTTTTATTTATATGATTACAGATTTAAAACTTTCAGAATTTGAGATTCCTAAATTCCAAATTCAAAAGCTTGCATATTTGGCAATATAACGAGAGATGTTTATATGTCTGAAAATTTGAGATTTCTCAGTTCGAAAAACATGCAAATTTCAAGATAGCTATACCCAAATAAATCCGCTAAAAATATTGTATTCTTTGATAAAATTGGTTCTTCAACGCCTCATAAATTAGATATTCTAAAGGCGTAACCCGACGTAAAATCGTGCATAGTAATAATAAAAGAGTCTTGAAAATTATGAGACACTTTTCGCATTAATAACGAGAAACGTTTGATAGCATTTCAAAAAGACGTGCAGAATCGACAAGGGAACAGAGATAGGGGGCGTACGTTCGATAATTCATTGTAGGGAAGCACAATCTTTTCTGGTTACTTTAATTTTATATTTTTTTCGTACTATCACCACGAGATAATCTCTAGAAACATATAGAGAGGAGCAGTGGTACTCTTTTATTGGAGTATAAATCCCAAAATTCCTAATTTCAATAATTTCCAAAGTTCTAAGTTTCCAAATTCCCAACTAGCTAAATTTCCAATTCCCTAATTCCCCGATTCCCTAATTCCCCAGCTCCCTAATTCCCCGATTCCCTAATTCCCCAGCTCCCTAATTCCCCAGTTCCCTAATTCCCCGATTCCCTAATTCCCCGATTCCCTAATTCCTTGATTCCCTAATTCCCCGATTCCCTAATTCCCCGATTCCCTAATTCCGTGATTCCCTAATTCCCCGATTCTCTAATTCCCCGATTCCCTAAATCCCCGTATCCCTAATTCCCCGATTCTCTAATCTTCCGATTCCCTAATTCCCCGATTCCTTAATCCCCGATTCCCTAATTCCCCAATTCCCTAATTTCCCAATTCTCAAAATCCCAATTCCCAAAATTCCCATCGAGATCATAGGTCAAGTCCCTAATCTCCTCTAACCGTATTTCCTCTACAAAACCAGAAAGCTCATACACCCTCTTCCAATCCCCTATTCCTAAATAGTTCAATATTTATAAACCATTCACCCCGCCCGTTTTATTCCGAAAGAAAGATGATATTCGAGAAGACCGATGATACGTTGAACGACGCGAATGAACAAAAGGAAGGTAAAAAAAAAAAGCGAGAAGAAGAATACGGGAAGGAAGAAGGCATGCGGTCTATGGGAAAATGTCGGGTCACTCTTATCGCCGTTTCCATACGCACGTAGGGAAAATGGTCGCCTTATCTGGCGTTTCCATGAATAATTTAGAAAGCTTCGCTGCTGAAAACTTCTCTACCGGTCTCGTTCTATCTTTCCGATCCTTTCTATGCGTTACCCTCCGTCGGAGAGCAATCGTCGGCAGGAACAGAGAACACCGGCGAAAAAAGCAACGGTTGGAACCGAGATCAGGAATAAAGTCTGGAAAACCGTTTCCGAACGAGATACGATTCCACTGTTATTCGACAAACTTTTATGTGTTGGTGAATTAGAAATGAATGGTAATAATTATCCGTCGTTACGATGGGTTTATGGCTGGGGTTTTCAACCCTTTTAACGCGCTCGGATGAGGATCTTTTTCTGAAATTTTTTATGATGAACATTCCTTATGATAAATTATGATGAATATTCCTTATGGATCAGTTATGATGAACATTCCTTATGATCAGTTATGATGAACATTCCTTATGGATCAGTTATGATGAACATTCCTTATGATCAGTTATGATTAACATTCCTTATGGATTAGTTATGATGAACATTCCTTATGATCAGTTATGATTAACATTCCTTATGATCAGTTATGATGAACATTCCTTATGATCAATTATGATGAACATTTCTTATGATCAGTTATGATGAACATTCCTTGAATACCAATTCGTAGAGAGTATAGAGTACCTCGCACGAAATGAATCCTATAAAACAAAAGATTACAAAGTACCTACGACGCCAAAAAACGCATAGAAGTATTTTGACCGAATCGAACAAGCTATCAGCAGCAGCGAGAGTCAAAAGTGGAGTCCTTTCGCTAAAACAAAGGCGGAAGTAATTTCGTCTGGTCCGAAGTTCGCGATAAAACCGAGTTGCAGGAAGGCAATAAAACGTTGAAACTTGTTCTATCTGCAATTCGAACAATGCTTTTCGAAATACAATTCCTGAGACACGTTGAACATTTCGATGAGCATTCCGTAGGTAGGGAGTTTAGCGGAGTATCCAGCATAGATGGCGTCCATCTTTCTTTTTCCGTCGGCGTGCCGGGGAGGCAAAGCTTATCGTGCTTGTTATTAATGTGAAAAGTGTCTTCCACCTTTCGGTGGCGTATCTTGACGCTCGGCGTCGGTCTTCCGCGACATGAAAAGGTTCACAGAGGAGGGATACGTTGTGTGAAACGTTGAAGCGGAGAAAAATCGAGACAATCGCGGTAATTACAGGAAGTGAACGTGGCACGCCGCTGGATCGGACAATGGTATCGCGGAGTTCGCGAAAATAAGAGAACAGGTTACTCTCCGAAAGATGTTCCCGTGTCACGTTCGTGGTTACGAATCGTTCGTGACCTATGATCTCGATGGGAAGTTGGGAATTTGGGAATTTGAAAGCGGGAAATTCGGAATTTGGGGAATTTAGAATCTGGGGAATTTGGGAGTTTGGGGAATTAGAAGCTGAGAATTTGAGAGTTTGTGGAATTTGAGAATTTGGGGAATTGAGAATCTGGGGAATTTGAGAATTTGAGAATTTGGAGAATTGGGAATCTAGGGAATTTGAAATTTTGGGGAATTGGGAATCTGGGGAATTTGGGGAATTTGGGGAATTGAGAATCTGGAGAATTTGGGAATTTGGGGAATTAGAAGGTGGGAAATTGAGAATTTGAGGAATTGGTAATTTGAGGAATTTGAGAATTTGGGGAATTTGAGAATCTGGGGAATTGTGGATCTACGAAATTTCAGAATTTCATTCACAACTGATCATAAGTAATGTTTATCATAATTAATTGATTATAATATTCATCATAAGTGTCCTTCTCGAAAACTGAGACATTAACAACTGTTCGAGCAGCCGCCATTTTGTAATAAGGGCGTCCATTTTGTGTTCCAGTCGCGTACCACGTCTCGATGCGAACATTATGCACGTCCGAGAGAAAGCATTATTCGAGACTCGACTAATGTTACATAAATGCAAAAAAGAAGGCCTTGTCCTTAATACCCTCGACCCGTCGTTACGCCTTGCGTCAGGATGCGTCACATGGAAACGAAAACTTCTCCCAACAGTGGAAAATGTTCGTGCAGATTGGGGGAACAGACTGCGCGAGAATTGCATTTTACATGAAACCCGAGGGTCCCCGTAACAGAAATAATTCAACGTCGTAGTTAGTAATTAATCGTGGAACTACCGTTCAACACACAGCCAACATATATTTTTAGTACGCCGCCATTTTACGGGTTATATAAAACTCTTCTCGATATGAATCAGAACTTACTGCAGCGCGAATTGTTAACCTGCTACATAAATGTAGTCTGTGTCTCGCATTCTTAATGCTGTCGCATGCTTAATGGTTGCGAGTTTAAAAGAACGATATGGCAACTAAATTTATTCTTTTTATATTCAATTTTTGTACAAAGACTGTCGTTATGAAGTATAATTTACAGTAGATCGTAGCAAACTCACCGTTGCTATGTTACGTTAGCGCACATCGTGAAAGCGGCAATATAGCGAGAGTCTGTATGTTCAAAGTATACAGGGCGTCTCACAACTAGCGTAGGTCCATGGGGCAGCCGATTCTAAACAAGATTTCTCTTTGCGGAAATGGAATTCGAAGCTTCGTTTTTGAGTTATTAAGGAAAAACACCGGACCAATCAAAGCACGACGCGTGCGCAGACGCGAGTGCGCAGCTTCGAGCCTAGTGGCTGAGCGCGCGCAGACGCGAGTGCGCAGCTTCGAGCCTAGTGGCGCATCGCGCTCTGATTGGTCCAGTGTTTTTCCTTAATAACTCAAAAACGAAGCTTCATACTGCATTTTCGCAAAGGAAAATTTTGTTCAGAATCAGCTGCCCCATGAACCTACAGTGGTTGTGAGACACCTTGTACTACTACTACCTTTTAGATAGTGGTTCCATTATTTTTCAAAGTGTAATTATTATATCCTAATACAAACTTGAAAAGTACTAATTTAAATAATCGAATACAAATGAGAGGTTTAGGTCCATTCCCCTAAATCCCATAATTTCTCCCAAGACCCCAAATGTACAATCAATTCCCAGAATCCGTGCATTCATTATTATTCGAGTCGCGCTGTCTCCTCCGGCAGAGAAAAGCTTGAAGAATTAGGGATAATAAGAAGGTAACGGTTTCAGTAAATTGGATAGTAATTAAAGGAATCTCCCAACACCGGTTCACGGACGAATTACAGCAGTTTGTCAGATCCGGTCTCTCCCGAAGGATGATCCTGGTAAATCGAAGTTTCTATCTCACGAATTCGAATGACGAATGGCGGTCTTTCGTTGCTCTCAGAAAGTGGATATCTATTCCCTCTTGTCTTATCGTTCTGTCGTTCCTGCCAGCTTCCTGTCCTCGGCGAGCCTTACGAGTTACTTTTTTGTATACTCCATTTCGTGAATTGCGTACTTTCGACAAATTGATGCATACGTATCGTTCTGCTTCTGCATTTGCAAAATTGCTCCATCTACGGGTGCTAGATGCCTCCTGTCAAGCTCTATCTTTACCCCAGTCGTTTCTGCTACGCTATCTACATTTCTTTTCAACGTGTTCTAACTTTTGTAATAATATAATACACCTGTAACTTCAATTTTATAACTGTAACTTCCATTTCCCAGCTGTAAGTTCAATTTTTCATCTATAAGTTCAATAAATTTATCTTTTGGTGAAACGTCAAGATGGAGAGCCACACGTGTTACTTGCTTCACTATTTATTTTTGTATTTCACATTAAATGAAGTTTAAAGCACCACAGAGTTGAATGGAAAATGGAATAAGAGATGAAAAACTGAGTCAAACGAATCTTATCTTGAAAAGACTTTTCCACGCCGTCGAGCGGAGAAGATAAGCCTGATCATCTTCCTTCGCGAGAAAGTTTCAGCGACACTGGAAAGATAAAATTCATAATTGCTTTAATTTCATCGTCCACCGCTGTCGTCGCGATAATCGTGCCTCAACGAATCGAATTTTTCAACGAGCCGCATCGATTGTATCACTGGACTTATCTTCTACTTCCCTTCTTTACTGCGCGTTCTTCTCTGTCCCGCGATAACTGTTCGCCAACGCTATTTTCTTTGCGCGGAAGCTTTAGGGATACGTTACCGACACTGTTTGAAGCTCATAAAATTTTAATAGTGAAAGTTTGATACGATTTTTTGTTATAAATCATTTCTATCGCTATGAATATCATTTGCTGTCGGAAATGAAAATTTCATTAATATCGTAGAAAGTATTTTTATATTTTCATTTCGTAAAAATATTATTAACATGGTTTAATGTATTTATTAAACTAATTCATAGTTTATAATGAATTTGTTAGTATCCATGTCAAAAATACTTAGTGACAGATTTAAGCAGCCATGTTTAAAAATGAATGCTTCAAATAAAAAATGTAGGAGAAGCATTTATCGACGAAAGATGATACCCGCAAATGGCCTGGTTGACTAATCAGTCAGCTTGTTGTTAGCACTGAATCATCAACAAAGCACGGAGCAGTTCAAAAGCAATCCCACTTTCAGTATAGTCGGTTCAGAAACAGTTAATCAGTCACAGAAGCAATCAAGCTTCTACTCACTTCCATATTTCAGTCAGTTATTAGTTAGTCAGTTGGTGCGAGAGCAATCAAGGTTATATTTCATTCCACATATCCATGTAGAATTCGTGATCGGTGTTACTATCTGTTTCATGCACGCTGTCCATAAATACCGGGACAGCTGTAACTTTTATTGGTTACTCGTTTTTGATCTACTGAAATTTTACCTTATACTGGACATTAAGGTTAACTATAAATTTAAGTAAAGACAATTATGTCAGTTTTAGACTGTATTTATATAAATGATTCTCTATGCCTCACAAGAAGTCACCTCCATAATATAAAAAATTTGTGAACTCTGTTAAACTCGGACATTTTATTCTTGCACATTTGAACGAACAGTGTCTCAGGAATGCACGTACTTGCATTTCAGGTGGCTTCACCTACTATTTAACCTAGGAGTGCAGGTGGTCGTGGGACTTCCCCTGGAAATGGTTCACGGAAGTCTGAGGATCGCGGCGGTATATATGGCCGGAGTTCTTGCCGGTAAGTAATCATACATTACAAATTAACCCTTATTTATGAGACTCTCTGAGTTGAACATATTTTTTATTATTTATTTGAGCACATTTTCGTTCATTTACTTCACCTGTTTGTCCATTTTCTCACATTACTATCTTCATAAAATATTGATGAAATAGAAAGCGTATAATGGGACATGTAATGGTCACGTGAGACTGTCACGTGAGTCAGACTGACGCGACTGCCCTCTGGCGGGTAGAGCACGAACTATAAACGAATGAGAGAATCGAGTAGCGAATCTAGAGTACTTGTAGTCATAGGCATAATTAAAAAATCACATTATTTTCAATGCAATTATGTAACAAGCGCGTTGATATATGCTTATATAGTAAACAGGAAGGACGTTAATACAAGTAAAAGTAATCGAGGCCGGTGATAACAATGAAAGAAAATAAGCCAGTAAATTGATCGATAAAACAAAAAAGGGGGCAGTAAAGCAGAATAAAGGGGAATAAAGGGAAAGAACGAGAGTCGTTCGTTGTCAACGAAATACGATTAAGCAAAAGCTCCCGGTCCAAGTACATTTACCGTACAACGTTTGCAGCGAGCCTCGTCGATACTTGCACGCGTGATTATGCACCGGCATGTAATGCAATAATGCACGAATGCTCGCAACAATATTCGTGAATTTAAATCACTCGGTGATTCTCACCCGCATAAATGCCCGGCAGCGCAGCTGCAGCTGCCACGCCACGACTCTATTTCTTCTCTGTAACACAATTTGTCCCTCTTTCCATTTACCGTGTTTCGGGATTTTCCAACATGGAACGTGTTTTTGCTTTTCCCCCCTGTCGCCCCTTCGATCGTGGCCCCTCTGCGAGTTCACCTTCGGCTACTTCCCTTTCCATTATTTTCATTTGCGTCCCGCGCCACCGAGAAACGGGAGTACGCGAGTTTTCTTGTATACGTGTATGCACGCGCGAACGCGCGTATACCGGCATGCACCGAACCGACACTGCACGACCCGGCGCACATTCGTGTAAACCTAATTGTCATTTGCATAAATTCGATTAGACTCAGATCCCGGGTTATTAGCAGTCATGAAAGTAAACCGTTGCAAAACAGGGACGCATGAATAATAAACCCAAGATTCGGGAGAAAATTTCGAAGATACGGAGAAGGAGATTTGAAATGACAGTGTCGATATGTGGATGAAATGTAACAATTACCTCAATACGTGAAAATAGTTACACATTAACGGTTGGTTGCTCTTTACAGAAATGCAATATAACGCGAGGGTCGTATTTTTCGTTCCAACCACTCTTATCTTACTGCCTTGATCATATGTAATCTTGACAGAGTTCTTATGACGTGCAAACGACTTCTGTACCCTCTTACGTCAAGGGGCTCTATAACCACTTGTTATATGGCATGAACTTGTTACTAAACTAAAAATTTGAAGAGAGTGTATACAGGCGAACGGAGGTGAAAAGGAACGAAAACGGAAGCTCGAAGGCAAATAAGGGCACTGAAGGGTTTCGACAGACGGCCATATAGCATCAGTCTCTCGTCGTGCATGCAAAATGCATCACGCATACGGGAACGTTGCGACGACATGCAGATATCGTTGTATAATTGTCTGTGTCACGCAATCGGCATGGCGCCGGTGATTCTGCGACACGAAACCTCATCGACGCACATTAGAAACGCGGCACCGTTGATGGAACGAATGAAATTACGTGGAAATTTAACCTCTTTATCTGAAAATTATTCTTAGACCTGCGTACTTTTCCGAGAATTCTTTTTCAATTACTTGATAAACGTTAAGTGGATCACGTTCGTTTTTATGCGTGGTGGAGGGCTATTTATTGTGGGAAATGTAGACTCTTTTATTGACTATGCAATATGTGTCGAGGACGTTATAGAAGAATGTGTAGAGATGCGCGAATGGTATGGGAAATTGTAGTGTGATTACTTTGGCGATATAACGAGAGTGGTATAATTTGGCGATATAACAAGAGTAGCATAATTTGACGATATAACAAGAGTGGTATAATTTGGCGATATAACAAGAGTGGTGCAATTTGACTATATAACGAGAGTGGTACAATTTGGCGATATAACAAGAGTGGTACAATTTGACGATATAATAAGAGTGGTACAATTTGACGATATAACGAGAGTAGTATAATTTAACGATACAACAAGAGTGGTACAGTTTGGCGATATAACAAGAGTGGTACAATTTGACGATATAACAAGAGTAGTATAATTTGGCAATATAACAAGAGATTTGAAACTCCGTAAATTTGAAATTTATAAATGTGTAAGAATCTCTTTCGACCATGAAAAATTCCTAAATCTGAAAACTTGATGTAGTAATATCGTAAAGTCTGGTATGTCTCGAATCTCGACTATTTTCATCCATGGGAACGCGATCATCGATTTTCCATCGCATTTCACCTATTTGTTCATCAAAAAGCGTAAAATTGAAAATTTCAAGAACATCGTAAAGGTACACGGGAAACCGGAGAAGAAAATCCAACGTATCATATAGACTTTATTTTCTTTCTCTTCGCAACCACTATTTTCCATCCTTATTTCTGCTTCCCTTTCTTCATCCTGTATGTTTGCTTAAGAAAAAAACGAAAACTGATCGTAACTCGTGTCTCTATTCCCATGTCAATACTCCTTTTTATCAGAAAAAACGAAATTGGACATTTCTTCAGAATTATGATATTTGTTTAAAAATAACGAGTTACATTTTTGACAATTTTGTCAAATTGTAAAATTACAGAAAAATTTTATCTACATAAATAATTTTATTATACTTGTATGTGTGTGCTTTTTGCGAACACGATTCGAATTTCCCGCCAAAAGGCTGCATTTAAGTTTAAACGCTAATCTATCGAACAATACAATTGATTGGGTTTTTCAGCTTAATTACAGCTATTTTCTCGTGCAATTTTCCTTCGAACTTAAAATATCGTCCTCCGGTTGCTAGTTCCGGGGTTTCCCATTCCATTACTTCCGCGTCCCTCTTTACGAATGCATCGACGTGTCTGCACTCGCCTTCTAAATGCGTGCTCTATTTTCTCGTCCCAAGCAATACGAGACGCATCGCCTGTCTTTGCAACTCCCTTTCCACTTTATTCCCCCTTTCTTCCCCCGATGCCCGTTTCCTTATCCTATTTGCAACCCGACAGCACGATTTTGTGCCCACTTTCCGATATAACCAGATCTACCGATGGAGGCACTCACGAAAAATTTAAAACGTTCTCGCACACTTACTTGGGACTTCCATTTTTATTGCAAATCAGAGGTTCTCAATTAATCTATAAATACTAGTCAATATTTATAATTGCAATATAATAGAATACGATACAGTATGCAATATAACGAGAGTACATCAAATTTCACCCAAATTCACAATAAAGAAAAATAACCAAAAAAGTTTTACCACGAAATATCGAGAATTTAGGACCAGCTAATTTCTAACAAAGAACTGAAATGCAATATAATAATATACAATACAATATGCAATATAACGAGAGTACATCAAATTTCACCCAAATTCACAATAAAGGAAAGTAACCAAAAAAGTTTTACCACGAAATACAGAGAATTTAGGACCAGCTAATTTCTAACAAAGAACTTAAGTGCAATATAATAGTATACAATACAATATGCAATATAACGAGAGTACATCAAATTTCACCCAAATTCACAATAAAGAAAAATAACCAAAAAAGTTTTACCACGAAATATCGAGAATTTAGGACCAGCTAATTTCTAACAAAAAACTGAAATGGTTCATTCACTAATTTTCATTATTGCAGTAATAAAATCTTTTCTAACAATGCATATGGTCCCCATAGAACGATGCAAGCGCCTGCACTTTTCGTAGCTCTTTTTGCTATTGGTTGCGCCGTTCGTACTTGATTCGCTGCACCTGTTGCACACGTTCCAGTTTCAGGATTATGATTGCGAGAAAAATGAAAAGCACGACGGGAAATATAAAAGTCGATGCCTTGATAATAATACTTGGGGAAATATAGAAATAAAAGGAGCTCGGTTATTGAGTTTCTTATAAGTGAAATTTCATTTTTAATCATTTTTAATTCCCTTTTAAAATTGCTTCTTTTTTACAGAAGTTCGAGATCAGAATATTTAATTATACTTTTTTTATTTATAGTTATTCATCGTTACAATGATAAATAAATAATGAAGTACAAAAGGGATCCTTTTCCTGGTTAGATTAGGTAGGCTAGATAGGTTAAGTAGGTTAGGTGTGTTAGGTATGTTAGGTAGATTAAGTAGGTTAGGTGGGTTAGATGGGTTAGGTAGGTTACTTAGGTTAGGTAGGTTATATGGGTTAGGTAGGTTACTTAGGTTAGGTAGGTTAAGTGGGTTATGTAGGTTACTTAGGTTAGGTAGGTTCGATGTGTTAGGTAGGTTACTTAGGTTAGGTTGGTTACTGAGATCATCAGTGGCGCCACCTTTCGGAGAAGTGTACCAACCCTATTCCCTACCTTCTGCCTATAAATCTAATTAAGTATTCTTCCACAAATGTCTATATTTGTTAAGTACAAAATTTAATCTCCGCGAGATAAGTAGTTTTTGCAAACGCAGATTAACATTTCGCGAGCGAACGTTCCAACGAACATAGAATGTAGCTGGACAAATTCCAACTGCCTAATCTCACGAGACCCAACTATCCTTCCTGTTACGGAAACTTAATTTTAATGGAGTTATTTGAATTCGGATGATAACGTGTCGCAAATTGGAATCGGCCATTTAGCGCTTCATTATTTGCCACTTTATCATTGTTATCGATAATAACTATCCGATTAGTAATAATTGCTGTTGGAATTTTCATTCGGTCATTAAGACACATTAATTCTACTTTGGTACAACTTCAAGTGCACTGCAAATTCAGCAGATTATCGAGCTAGAATAGCAGGTTTTCAAAATCGGCAATATAACGAGAGCTCATTACCAAGCTCCATATAACATATAACAAATATTTTTAGTTTCACCTCTAGTTTTAATTTTTTGTTATGATTTATTTGCAAAATAAGTTTTATTATATAATGTAAAAATTGTATTGTTTAAATACGAAAAATATCCATAGGAATAAATTGCTTGTCTGGATTCCGATAGCAATAAACGCCGCGAAACATTTTATACCGAATAATGCAAATTTTTAATTCTTATCGGAGACGAAATTATGGTAACTGACGTTTAAAACGCGTACGTTTATGCATTGCGACTGAAGAATGAAATGTGAAGTATTAAAACAAATTTTATCCTTTGAGTAGCAATTTAAATGTTACTACCCAAAGAGATGGAAGGGCAGAGAGTGCTTTTGATCGCGACTGCTTTTTATCGCAACAGCTTCAGATAAATTTTAACAAAGTTATGAAGCCTCGAAGTTACAAAGCTGTGTACCTTTTTTATGAACTTGTTATTTCCATTTGCGTTTTTCATTTTAATGTAACAAGTAGTTTAATATTCGAAGAGAAAATTTGTTAAACAACATTGGATCATTAATTTGTTATTGGGGTAATTTTATCGTGTTTATCGGCGATATTAATTTCGTTAATGCAGATGGTAGCCGGCTTAGTGCCAAAGCTATTATTTCCTTGCTTCTGCAGAAACACATATCCGATTTCCACCCGGAGGAAATTCTATGGAGGTGCTTGCTAATTACCACTACGTGTAATACCAATCTTGAATAACCGTGATTCTGGTTACTAGAATTAACGGCTTGATGAACACAGTTATTATTTAAATAACTACTTGTCAAGTTTAAATGCATAGGCTATAGATATTAACAAAATAATTACACTTTAGAAAATAATTTACTGTTTAAAAGGTAGTAGTAGTACATACAGGTCTCACAACCAGTATACAGGGTGTTCTTAATTTTATATGTAATTATAATTTTAGGGGGTGGTAGCTGAGCTAATTCTGAACCACTTTTTCCTTTACCAAAATGCTGGTTAAAGCTTAGTTTTTGAATTATTAAGAAAAAACCAGAGCGCGAGGATTACGCACGCTCAGCCATTAGGCTGGAAGGTGCGCACTAGCGTCTGCGCACGTCTCTGCGCACTGGCGTCTGTGCACTCGCGACGGCGCACTACCGTCTGCGCACTAGCGTCTGCGCATGCGTCGCGCTCTGATTGGTCCGGTGTTTTTCCTTAATAACTCAAAAACGAAGATTCAAATCCAATTTTCGCAAAGGGAAATCTTATTCAGAATCAGCTGCCCAATGGACCTACATTGGTTGAGAGACGGCCTGTATAAGTTAGTGGTAGTATATGGCAGTACATGGTATGGTAGTAAATATCGTTTTCTTTAATTATATTTGCAGGTTCTCTGGGTACTTCAGTGTTCGATACTGACGTCTACCTAGTTGGCGCCAGTGGCGGCGTTTACGCACTTCTCGCAGCCCATCTAGCTAATGTCCTGCTCAATTACAACAACATGGAGTTCGGCATAGTTCGATTAATCGGCATCTTTGTTATCGGTAAGTCCTAACTTTACATAAACTAGCTTTCACAATGATTCTCTATCTCGAAGGTTAATTTACATTTTGACGAAAGCTTACTTTATAACTTACTTGATAACTTAAAGTAAGACATCTAATGTCTTCTTGAATATGGACATCTGTCACACAGAGTAAACCAGAGGGGTCGCCTCTTGTTATATTTACTCTTTGCTCCTGATTTAAACACTATGTTAAAACGAGTGTTACACTAGTGTCAAGCTAGTGTTAGACTAGTGTTAAACTAGTATTAAACGTAAATTGAGTATGAAATATAAAATAAGTATGAAATGTAAAATTTTCAGCAAGCGCCGACGTGGGTTTCGCAATCTACGACCGCTACGCCGCCGAGCAGATGGGTCCTCCAGTTTCGTACGTGGCACACCTGACCGGTGCGTTGGCAGGCCTGACGATCGGGCTTCTGGTGTTGAAGAACTTCGAGCAGCGTCTTCACGAGCAGCTTCTCTGGTGGGTGGCCCTCGGCGTGTACGCAGCGTGCACCATCTTCGCGATCATGTACAATCTGATGCATCCGGACTACCCATGACGCGAGGTCAGCTTCGCGTACGGTCAACCGCGAAACACGTAACGCGAAGCTGGATAACAACGAGCCAAAACTGCAGCTGCAAGAATACGCAAAGTCAGTTGATGAAGAGAGCTGGCGAGATTCGCCTACGAGCGAACTTGAATATAAACCAAATGGAGAGAAATAGCGAGGTATTTTTAACGAGTGTTAATTGTGCTCCGGTATCTCGTTGACTGAAGGATAATTGGTTTTTCTCGGAGATCCACACGTAACGCGAATCAGATTAATACAAATAAGAGATAAGGAATATTTGATGGAGACAATCCGATTACAGAAGAAAGTAGACGGAAATGTTCCTAGGATAAGCTGTATCCAATCGAAGGGATACAAAAGAGAAAGAATCCGCCAGAGGAAATTAGATCGCCTTCGATAGCAAAATGGCGAGAGGTCTGTTCGCGTTGCGTGTCCCCTTTATTTTTTCATAGCGTCGAAAAATCGATCCCTTTTACGAGCGCTATTTTTCCCAGTGAAAAAACCAAAGAATCAAAATACCTCGGGGAATCCGTATTCGGGACCCAGTTCAAAGTAAAAAGTCATTGGAGGGGCGAGGACATTTATCGGCAGCCCCTGGGCACGAACAAACCAAAGAATCCTACCGAACGTGTCCACCTTTTGTCCTTTTCAATTCGACTTTCCAAAGGACCGGAATAGCCGGAGAAATTCAGGGAAACAAAGTGTCCAGACATCCAGGAAGAAACCACGGGAGAGAAGATCGTTTTTTGGTCAATCACTCGGAGGAAATGGCCGCCTTTGGAAGATCGTTTCGGGGAAATAGCGGTGTAAAGAATTAATAATTTCTTTAAGTACCGAGCTACGTCTACGAAGTAACAAAGGCCTGTTATTTATGTATCGTTCAGCTGTGTTCAATGGCCTCAGTGAATATTGTAAAGTACAATTCATTTAAAATACCTTGTGTTTCAACTTGGGGCTCTCAGTATTTGTTAACAATATTAACTATGTAGGACTATGATTATGTACATGCTACATTTGCAGTTAATTTTCTTTAACAATATTCTAGTAATTTTCTCTGTACAAAAGTTTTTAAGAGAACCTTAACGTGTAGTCAATTTTTGTTAAAACATATCAATATGGCGTCCAAATGTACAGTAATTTGTTTGACGGTAGCCTTTGCTTATCGTAAACGTAGCTTGATACAAAGACTGGTATTAGTCCACGAAACTCGCAAGGGATCGATGAAAGTGAGGAACAATCTCTAAAGAAACGATCGGCGATTATTGAAAGCGAAATAAGACGAAGCAACGTCTAATACTCACGCGAGCTGCCTTCGTTAATCCGGGACGTGATCATCATCGTTGCTCGAAATACCGGAAAAAGTGGATCGCGCCATTTTCAAGTATGGCGGACCAAGTTTTGGAGGGAATTTGTGGACCTCTGGCGGCGAAATTGGGAAACTGCGAACAAAGATGGATAATCTTGTCTTTTTATAGATGTTCATGTGGAGAGAGATAATTATAGGTTTATTTAGATGTATACAGAAATCAATAACTTTTAGGATTTTAAGTTATAAATATATAAACTGAAAGTTATAAACTGAAGAACTTAACACTTGAAAATTATGAAGTTTGTAAACTGAAGAACTTAAAACTTGAACATTGTAAAATTTCTAAATTGAAGAACTTAAAAGTTGAAAATTAAAAAAGTTTGTAAACTGAAGAACTTAAAACTTGAAAATTAAAAAAGGTTGTAAACTGAAGAACTTAAAACTTGAAAAATATAAAATTTCTAAACTAAAGAACTTAAAACTTGAACATTGTAAAATTTCTAAACTGAAGAACTTAAAACTTGAAAATTAAAAAAGTTTTTAAACTGAAGAACTTAAAACTTGAAAATAGTAAAATTTGGAACCTGAAGAACTTAAAGTTTGAAAACTATAAAATTTGAAACCTAAGGAACTTAAACCTTAAAAATAGTAAAATTTGGAACCTGAAGAACTTAAAGCTTGAAAACTATAAAATTTGAAACCTAAAGAACTTAAAACTTGAAGATAATAAAATTTGGAACCTGAAGAACTTAAAGCTTGAAAATAATAAAATTTGAAACCTGAAGAACATAAAACTTGAAAATATTCAAATTTGGAACCTGAAGAACTTAAAGCTTGAAAATCACAAAATTTGAAAACTGTAAAATCTGAAACCCTAATAACTCAAAGCTCGAAAATCATAAAATATGAAAACCGAAGAGCTTAAATTTTGAAAATACCGCCATTGTTCGCAGTATCCCAGTTCCGTCGCCAAAGCCCCAAGTCCCGGTCCGCAAAAGCGATCGAAACCTGTATACCTACTGTAAATAATTCTGTACATAGTCTAGACGTTGGACGTCTGTACCGCGTCCATCGTCGCTTGTGTGTGTGTGCGCGCGCGAAGAAACTAATTAGCGTGCTGGACCGAACGTGGTCGCACGATCTAGTCCGATTATCGTGAGATTGTATGATTGCTCGTCGAAACAGAGAAACAAAGAATATTTTGAATCCGGTGTCCTGCGGACTAGCACGGCATCCCTTTTTCTAAGATCCTATTAACAGGAAGCGAATGGGCAGTGCAGGTTTGCTACGAGCCTTCATTTTGTTCTCGATCTGTCTTCGTTCGTCACTTTCGTATTCGCATCGTTTCCCGCTCGAATTGGAAGACTTTTTTATATTCGAGTCGCTGCAGAGGATTCTGGGGATTTTGTTTTTGGTCATTGTTACGTGTTGCCTGTTCTGAATGTATGATAGTATTTATTGATATTTTTTTGTTTAAGGGATTTGCTCTTCTTTCTTGCGAGTTCTTGGGGAAGGTTTTCGATCGGGTGTCTCGATTTGTTACTGTTTTGGTAACAAGGTTAGTGTGTTAGTGTGTGGATTCTTTGTACAAAGTTGGTGAGTGGAAATTTATGATCTTAGGTTAGGATCTGTGGTGGGCAACTAGTGAGCTAGAGGGCGCAGAGCATTTTTCTAAATTTCTAAATTTTTAAGTTCTCAAAGACTCAATCTCCAAAATTCAATAATTCAATACTATAAAATATTACAACCAAAACTAATTCAATCCTATTAAAATGTTACCTTCTACATCTTCTGCAAGTCCAATGCACACAGTTGCCCTAACCTCTTCGCCCATAATCACCATACCATCATTTCTTTCGATTTCATCGACGAAAAATTTGCGAGACAACTCAAAGCAAATTCGCTTTATCCCTTCCTTTTTATCGTGCGTTAATCCTGCAGAATACTCGAGAAATATTTTCTTATATCGCGTTCGGACTTTGCGAAAGAAGAGCAGAAAGAAATTAGGAGATTCGTACCAAAAAGCCAACGGCGATAAGGCGAACGAGTTCATACCGAGAGTGATTAACGATGCTAGTCAATTAGTAGCGGCAGATGGCAGCAAAACATTGCCAAAAAATAGTTTTTTTCTTCTAAGCTTCTGAGAAGTCGGATTTTCAAAAGTGGTGATTCGGTCGTTTAACATTCTTTTCATTTCGATCTTCCAACTTTTCTACAAAGACTGTTTAATTGAAATGAAGTATAATTTACAAACTCATTGCCACGTTAGCGCACATCGTGAAAGCGGCAATATAGAGAGACTGTATATTCAAAGTATACAGGGTGACTCTAAACTAGCGTAGATCCATTGGGCAGTTGATTCTGAATAAGATTTCCCTTTGCGAAAATTGGATTTGAAGCTTCGCTTTTGAGTTATTAAGGAAAAACACCGGACCAAACAGAGCGCGACTGCGCAGACTCCAGTGCGCAGCTTCGAGCCTAGCGGCTGCGCGCGCATCGCGCTCTGATTGGTCCGGTGTTTTTCCTTAATAATTCGAAAACGAAGCTTCAAATCGCATTTCTGCAAAGGGAAAATTTGTTCAGAATCAGCTCCCCCGTGGACCTACACTAATTGTGGGACCCCTTCTATATATATTGAATACAGTGTTCTAAAATTTAGTCTAGTAATATGGTAGAGTTAACTAAAATATGAAACTGCCAATTGTTTATAAGTTCGTAAAAGGAATAAGGCCGAATCACCAGATCTGAAAACCTCATGGGAAGTGATTTCGAAAGGTGGCCGCGCAAATGGCGTCAGTCCTCAACCGGTGATCGTTTATTTATTTAAAGGCACGCATGTTTCTGTTGCGAAGGTGCACAGAGTAGGAAAGTTAACATAATTGAAACGAGAAGTTACGATTATTTGTTACACGCGTCTGTCGAAGAAGCTTAAGTGTCGTTCACAATATACAGGGTGTACATTCAAGCAAAATGAACGTCCAACGTTGAAAATGTGCAGCGACATTTTTTAGCACGCTTCGTTTTGGAGTAAATCGATGTTGAATATTAGTCGACGATTTTCAGCATCCACTAAAAAATGTCATTCCATATTTTCGCTACAGCTTTTCACATAAATTCACACGCCATTTTGTTTGAATTACCAAAATGGAAACACGAGTGTATATTCGATTCTTGTCACATAAGTATATATAGATATATTTTCTTTTTTCGTCTCTTATTTATTTATTTATTTATTTATTCAAACGGCGCTCGACGGAAGAAAATGGCGGCTTCAGATTTCGTTTGATTTTCGACACTTGAGCGGCTTCGAATATGCGCTCGACATTCGGCGCTTAAATACAGTGAAACTAGCGTTAATTTCTTTAATTCCTATTATCTAGTGGGCATTGTTCGGTTCGAATTTTGTTTCTAGTCGACCCGTTCGATATTGTGATCCTCCGGAATATCGTGTTTTTCATCTGTTGCTGTATTGACATAAAGCAGCACTGGCGGGAAAATTCAAATTCATATAAAAATGAATTTCCATTATACACAAATTTGTCACTGAAGTATAAACTAAATACACAAAATTATTATTAATTATTTTAATTTAAATTTGTCGAAAATACACAGGAGTATAACAAAGGATTCAATTGCATATTCAGTAAAAATATTTTGCTATTTTACTATAAAAATTTCTCTACGTACAAAAACCAGAATTAAAATTAATTTTGTGGCAAATTAAATTATGGAACTTCATACAAAATATAAATATTTGTTCTCTTTCATTTTACTATAAAAATCTACCTTCACGTATTTTGAATTTTACCGCCACTAGTTCAGATCAATATGGCGGACGTATTCCCGCTATTAAACTGGGGATCACTAGGTTCGATGTGCCTCTGCAGCGCCATCGCGGAACCATACAGCGAACAATTAGTTCTTTGAATGTTATTTTTAAATTGATTTGACTCGACGTTTCAGCGATTAAAAACAATTGTACCTTTCGAGAACAACGTCCACTTCCTGTACCGCTATTTTAAGGAAATTTTAAGAGTACGCCTCGAAGGCGTGGAGTCATGTCAGACTCGTGACTTTAGAATCATCTCAGTCGATGGAAACCTTGCGTTAAATACTAAAAATATAATTTGTAAACATCCTATGATGACGCAAATAGCATTTTCAGGAAGGTTCAATTTTTTTCTATAAGTTTCACAGTGAATATCATTCAAAATTCTTTAAAATTCTGCAAACTTTATTTCGGAAAATCTGAGGTGGTAAATATTTGTAATTGAAAGAATTTGTATATTAAAAAATGATAAATTTGCATCCATCACAACAGTAAAATTATGAACGCAAGGTTCATCGAATTTTTTTTAGTTTAATGCACCAATTAAATAATGATTTGTTTTCTACTTAGGCCAGGGCAGGTTCCTCGCGAGTTTAAACCAATAAGCGGTCAGGATTTTTAACCGCGCTTAAAAATGTCAAATCCTTCGAAAGACAAACCTTCGTTTTCTGTTCAGCTAAATTACATCACATTTATATCTTCGAGTAATAAATAACAGTTTAGAGTATTCGACGAATAGTTTTTCTTACTATTTATTTATTTATAACGTTTATATGTACGGTCAGTCAGTTTATAAGCCAAAGAGGCGGAGCTAGTAAAAGCAAAGAAGATACGTAAAGTTTCGTTTCGAGCGATTAATATCGTTGCTACTTGTCACGTAATAAATTATCGACTTGTTCATTTAGACGATTATTGTCGAGCGTCTTCGAATTCGTTTGTTCATTGATAATTTGAGGTGTGCGTTCTGTGCTGAGATGCGTAGAATCTGTCGGGATGAAAAACGAGAAACTTTTTGTAAATTGTGTAAGAGGTAGCAAAAGTTGTAAAAGAACGCGAGAAATGTGCGAAAATAAAATTTTTGTGAAGAATTCAGTCTAATATTTTACCATTAACCTTCCTTCCTTATAATATTAAAATTAAAATTATTTTGTTAAATTAATTTATATTAAATTGTTTATAAATATACACTCTATGTTCATTAAAGAAGCATTGGAGTTTCTAATAAATAAATATAATAGGAAGAAAGAATTAAAATAACATATATATGAGCCTTGTGCTCTATTGACGACAATTGTTTATTAAAAAAAAAATGCAAAAGTTAATTTCCGGTACCGGGAATCGAACCCGAGCCTCCTGGGTGAAAGCCAGGTATCCTAGCCACTAGACCATACCGGATCGCTTGAAAGTATTTTCTCTTTCCGCAGTGACACTGTACATCACATCTAAAATATCATTATAAAATGCATTAAAACATTTATATTGACTTAAATATTATGTCTAATAAACATTGTATGTATTATTTTGATAAATTATTGAGCGAGCAAGCCAAAGGCGAGCGAAGCTCTTATACTTGACTTTGCAACTTCTTTGTCCGCGTTTTTCTTTTGCACCACTCAACCAATTCTCATCAAACTTTGCATGCACATGCGTATATACATCCAGATGGACATAGAAAGAAAAAAATTTAATCGGGCTTCGCACGAACGAATAATCACCGAAAAAACTGATCCTCACATGTAAGGGTCCGAACACGCATATAAGGAAAATAAAAAAATGAATATTTCGGCACTTTG